AGGAGACCTTCGAGGCAGGGGGAGAGGTAGAAGCAAAAGTAGGGGTAGATCTATAGATGGAAGGAAGCCTACTTATAAGTGCTGCTATTGTGGTATGGAGGGCCACTTGAAGAAGAACTGCAGAAAATTGCTACGAGAGCAAGGCTACAACAGTTCGCAGCCGAAAAATAAGGAAGGAGAGACACTAGTCACTATTTCTGGAGAGGTGGCTATCTGCTCCATCCATGAGGAGACATGTCTTCATGTCTCAAACCAAGATATTGAGTGGGTAATAGACACTGCAGCATCTTATCACGCCACTCCACGCAAAGATTTCTTCACAACATACAAAGCCGGTGACTTTGGTGCAGTGAAGATGGGAAATACCAGTTCTTCTAAGATTATAGGAATTGGTGATATTAAGATACAAACGAACCTCGGGTGTAAAATAACCCTGAAGGACGTTCGACATGTACCTGATCTTCGGCTAAATCTACTTTCAGGGATAGCCCTTGACAAACAGGGCTATGTCAATCAATTTAGCAATGGCACATGGAAAATGATGAAAGGTTCCATGATTGTCGCTCGAGGACATATATGTGGCACTTTATACAAGACTCATATGAAAATGCATGCGGATAGCCTCAACGTAGTAGAACGTGAACCTTCTCAAAATTTGTGGCACCATAGACTTGGTCACATGAGTGAGAAGGGATTGTCTACTTTGACAAAGAAGGAGCTAATCACAGTTGCTAAGGAAGCTGCGCTGGATCCTTTCAGTCACTGTCTATTTGGTAAGCAACATAGAGTCTCCTTCAATTTCTCTTCTACGAGACGATCAGGGTTGCTCAATCTAGTACACTCTGATGTTTGTGGTCCCTTGGAGGTTGAATCACTAGGCGGTAACAAGTATTTTTTAACATTCATTGATGACGCTTCTCGAAAGGTGTGGGCATATTTCTTGAAGACAAAGGACCAAGTATCGGATTACTTCAAATCATTTCATGCCATGGTAGAGCGTGAAATAGGAAAGAAGCTGAAATGTCTCCGTACAGATAATGGAGGTGAGTATACTTCCAAAGAGTTTGATGCCTATTGCAGGACATATGGCATTCGACATGAGAAGACGGTCCCACGTACTCCACAACATAATGGAGTCGCTGAGAGGATGAATCGGACAATCATGAAAAAGGTGAGAAGCATGATAAGTATGGCTAAGCTGCCAAAGCCATTTTGGGGAGAAGCTGTTCGAACCGCTTGCTACTTGATCAACAGATCACCATCTGTACCGTTGAATTTTGAAATTCCGGAGAAAGTATGGTCTAGTAAATATCCCTCCTACTCTCACCTGAGAGTATTTGGTTGTTTAGCCTTTGCAAATGTATCCAAGGAGCTAAGACAAAAGCTAGATACAAGGACCACTCCATGCATCTTTATAGGCTATGGCGATGAGGAATTTGGATACAGATTATGGGATCCAAAGACAAAGAAGGTCATCAGAAGCAGGGACGTAGTGTTCCATGAAAACCAAACATTAGAAGACATTGAAAATCCCACAATATCTCCTAATTCTAATTTTGGTGCCCAAAATATTGCTCCAGATCCAGCACAAACACAATTCACCATAGATAACGACGATGTGTATGAGGAAATGCCGGAAGCAGAACAGGAGGATGAAGAAGGGGATATTGATCAGGGGGAGTCACAATCCTCTTCACCAGATGTTGTTGGACCATTACATCAGCCAGATGATGATGCACCTCCTAAAATTAACGATCCACAGGTAAGAAGATCTAAATGAGGACGGATTCCATCAACAAGATATCCAGAATCAGAGTACCTTTTGCTCACTGACGAAGGAGAGCCAGAGAGCTTTCAGGAAGCACAAACTCATGTAGACAAAGACAAGTGGATACAAGCAATGCAGGATGAGATGGAGTCACTGCAGAAAAATCAAACATATGAGTTAGTTGAGCTTCCGAAGGGAAAGAAGACATTAAGGAATAAATGGGTTTTCAAGCTCAAGAAAGATGGCAGCGGAAAGGTGGTAAAACATAAAGCCTATTTGGTAGTCAAAGGATTTCTTCAGAAGAAGGGAGTTGACTTTGACGAGATTTTTTCACCTGTTGTAAAAATGGCCTCAATTCGAGTTATCCTTGGACTAGTAGCCAATCTAAATCTAGAGCTTGAACAGATGGATGTCAAAACAGCATTTCTTCATGGTGATTTATATGAAGAAATTTATATGGAGCAACCAGAAGGTTTTGAAGTTTCAGGGAAAGAAAACTTCGTTTACAAGCTAAAGAAGAGCTTATATGGTCTTAAGCAAGCACCTAGGCAATGGTACAAAAAGTTTGACTCTTTCATGGTGAGTTAAGGCTATAAAAGAACAGCTGCGGGTCAGTGCATTTATATTCAACACTTTTCGGATGGCAATTTTGTTGCTCTTCTATTGTATGTAGACGACATGCTGATCGTCGGACAAGATGCAAACAGCTGCGGGTCAGTGCATTTATATTCAACACTTTTCGGATGGCAATTTTGTTGCTCTTCTATTGTATGTAGACGACATGCTGATCGTCGGACAAGATGCAACAAAAATCAGGCAGCTGAAGACGGAACTCTCCAAGTTCTTCGACATGAAGGACTTAGGCTCAGCGCAGCAGATTTTGGGAATGCACATAACTCGAGATAGGAAGAATAGAAGGCTGTGGCTATCCCAAGAGAAGTATGTTGAACGAGTGATCAAGA